TCCTCAGTTTCAGCAAGCAGGGTTGTGTCATCTGCATAACGCAGATTGTTAATAGATCTTCCACCAATCCTGATGCCACAATTCTCCACATGGCAAAAACTAATACACAAGGAAAATAAGAATAGATAAAATGTGGCAGAATAGACGCTTCATTAAAATAGAGAAATTCTTTCCAAGGTCCTTGTGATAGTCAATATTCTTAGTCAGCAAGGCCATGGTTCTCAGAATAACATAACTATCCCACAGATTATCAATCCTCACTCACCTTTGCAATGTTAATGAGGTGGGATTAGAGGCAGTTTACATGAGGTTGGGAAGATTGGAGGGTTGGAGAAGGAGAGGAAGACCCTCAACCAGGTGGACTGACACAGTGACTGCTATAATGGGCTCTTGTGTGTCAGGAAGTGTGAAGATGGCACAGGACAGGACAGGGTTCAGATCTTTTGTTCATAGGGTTGCTACGAGTCATACTTGACTTGATGGCACTTAACAACAATATGTAAGGATATGGTCAAAGCTGGCCAGCCTTTTGCCTGTTACAGCATCACTTGCTAGGGCTCAGACTCGTTATTGTGAAGCCTGAAGTCCTCAGCCCTGCTCCTAGGCTTGGAATCATCAGGCTCTGAGGCCAGCTGACTGTCTGAGGACCCCTGAGCTTCCAAGATGCCTCTCTTCTGAGATCTGACCTCCAGCCTGGGGACCTGCCAGGCTGTAATTACATACACTTAAATGAGCACCTGAAGCATGTTCCTGAAGCCAGTCAGCCTCTTGCTCTCCGCACACATGCCCACAGCTTCACTGGTTTTGCTTCTCTAGGGAACCAAGACTAAGACTGTTTCCAAGTGAAATTATTAGATTCTGTCATTATTAATATGAATGATATAGAATAGAAGGAGAGATTATCACTTTTCTTAGCTCTTGAAAAGTCAGTCTAAGAATAAGAAAACAATATGGTTGAGAAAAAGAATCCAGAAGTAGAAGAAATAAATAAAAATACAGATGTGCCGAAGTCCTTCCCTTTCCCCCAAAATAACAATAGAAAGAAATAAAAAAGGCTGGACAAACTCAAAATATCAAATCAGAGGAGTTATACATCAAAATATATTAGTTACCACTGTATGGATGAGTGGAAAATGAGAAACAGGAAGAAGCGGGAGGAGTGCTGTTATAGTACAGAGATTTTAATCACTGTCACAAAACATGCATGAATTGTTCAAGGGAAATGCAATTTGCTCTGTAATCTTCATTTAAAACACAATATAAACTTAGAAAAAAGGAATGAAATGTAGCTAAGCTGTTAAAAAATATTAGTTACCACTGTAAAGGAGATAAACTTATCCATTTAAAAGATAAAAATAGCAAAGACTGATTCTCAATATGACACAGCTGATGTAGAAATAAGCAGAAGTATCAGAAGCTTATAAAAAAATCCTCAAAAAACCCACAAAAGCTAACCTGTGTGGCTCTATTAATATCAGGCAGAATAATCTTTAAAAGAGGAAAGCATTACTAGAGAGAAGAGACATGTGATATATATTTATTAACCAAGTTTCATCAACTGCTAAAATTATAAAGAATTCTAAACTCCAATACATTCAATCAAATAGTTTCAAAGTAAAAAGGCAGAAGATAATTAACAAAACAATACATTTTGATCTACTTTTTTTCTCATAATTGACACACTAAATGGAAATTTACAAAACAAAGGCTCCCCAAAGCAGCAAAGTACAACATTTATGCAATCATTCTACAATCAAAAAACTTGTACAATCAAGAGTCTGATTTACTAGACAGACATAAAATCTTCTCACTCAATAAGGGGAGATTAAAAAAAAAACAACCAAACAATAACTGAGATACATTCTTTCCATATATTTAAGGAAAAAATATCCATGCACTAGATCTGAAACCAAGAATCCACAAGTTAAAATGTTAAAAATAATTATATACACCATATTATCTAAGCTTAATGCAGTCACATAAAAAGGTTAAACAGAACAGACATACTCTTTTCTGGATTTCTCCACTTCCTTTTTAGAAGGTAAAGTACATCCATCAAATACAAGAATGGGCTTGATCCCATGAGACAGAAGCATGGTTACAAATTTCATACAAAATCCTACATACCTAGGAAAAGAGAAAAGGGCATGTAAGACCTTTGTTTTTCAGTAATATTATTTTTGCTCTTTTTATTTTTATGATATTTTTTTAAATTTGAATGGAGGTTTACAGCTCATATTGGTTTTCCCACAATCATTCACAGACCTTCCTTTTATATTATTACTACTTAAGGTAATTCATTAATTACAATCTCTGCCTTTCCGTTCCCCTAAATGGTCTATTTTATTACTTTTTACTCCCCTCTCCATCCCTTCCCATCTGCATTAAACTTTCAAGGTTGATCCTGTGCACAAATTTTTCTTAGCTTTTTACACTGCTGTTATGAGTATCAGAGGAATGTCTGTGTTTTACTGATCAAGCAAAGGTGTGTGACTGAAACACAACAAACTGGCTAACTCTGAGAAGAATGGGAATCCCAGAAAACTCATGTGACCTATACTTGGACCAGGAGGCAGCTGTCAGAACAGAGGAAGGAAACAATGTATGGTTCAAAATCAGAAAAGGAGTACATCAGGGATGTGTCATATCTCCATAACTTTTCAACCTATATGCAAAACAGATAATTTGTGAGGCTGGACTTTATGAAGAGGACTGTGGCATCAGGATTGGAGGAAAACTCATCAACAACCTACGCTATGCAGATGACACTTTGCTTGCTGAACCTGAACCTGAAGCATTTGCTGTAGAAGGTCAAAGACTGTAGTCTCCAATATGGAACGAAGTTCACTCAATATCAAGAAGACAAAGATTATCCTCACTGGGCCAACTGGCATCATGATAGTTGGAGAAGAGACTGAGATTGTCAACAACTTCAGCTTGATTTCACAATCAACACTCTTGGTACCAGCAGTTAAGAAATCAAATTGCACTGGGAAAATCTGCTGTCAGGGACCTCTCCAGGGTGCTAAAGAGCAATGATGTCCTTCTAGAGACTGAGGTGTGCCTGAGCCAGGCCATGATCTTAGCAATTATTTGCAATGCATCAGACAGCTGAACAAAGACCAAGGATGGCAGAAGAAGAATTGATGCCTTTGAACTGTGGTGCTGAAGAAGAGTCTTGAACATATCATGGACTACCAAGATGCCAAAAGAACTGGTCTGTCCTGGAGAGGGTGAAGACAAGCTGCTCCTTGGAGCCAAGGACTCTGAAGCTCCAGCTCACCTACTTTGGGCATGCTACCAGGAGGGACCAGTCCTTGGAGAAAGATTTCATGCTTGGAAGGGTGGAGGGACAGCACAGGAGAGGAAGACCCCGGATGAGAAGGACTGACACAGTAGTTGGTTAATGGGGTCAGGTGTGTCACAGTGAGACTGGCCCAGGTTTCAGAGCCATTATACTATAAGTCATGGTCGAATCAAAAGCTCATAACTACAATAATGCTAAAGTGTGTGAATATACCAGAGTTCCTTTAGTCATTCATCTGTTGACATTTGGGCTCTTTCCAGTTGTTTGCTGCAATAAACATGGGTCTGCATATATTAGTTTGTGGCGCAGACTTAATTTCTTTGGGATCTATACTTAGTAGTGAGATTATGGATTATTTGCAGCTTTCTAAGAAGTACCAAACTGCTATGGTGGCCACTATATTTTACATTCCTACCAGCAGCCTTCAGTATGGATTCAAGCGCAATGTCAAAAAGACAAAGATTCTCACCACTGGACCAATTGGCAGCATCAGGATGGATGGTGAAGAGATTGAGATTGTTAACAACTTTAGTCTGCTTGGCTCCAAGGTCAACACTCTTGGCACCAGTAGCCAGGAAATCAAAAAACGTATTGTGATGGTTAAGTCTGCTGTTGGGGGCCTCTCCAGGGTACTGAAGAGCAATGGTGTCACTCTGGAGACTAAGGTGTCTGATACAGGCTATGGTCTTTGCAATCACTTGTTATGCATGAGTTGGACAATGAATAGGGAGGATAGGAGAATTGATGCCTTTGAGCTGTGGTGCTGGAGAAGAGTATTAAATATACCATGGACTGCTAGGAAAACAAACAGATTCACCCTGAAGAGGGTTAAACCAGGCTGCTCCTTGGAGGCAAGGATTCTGGGGCTTCGTCTGACATACTTTGGACATGTTGTAAGGAGGGAAAGGTCCTTGAAGAGGGACATCATGCTTGGGAGGGTGGAGGGACGGCGCAGGAGGGGAATACCCTCTACGAGGTGGATTGATTCAGTGACTGGGGTAATCGGGATGGATGTGTTAGAGGCAATGTGATTGGCACAGGATAGAGCAGGGTTTAGGGCTGTTGTACATAGGGTCAATATGAGTCGCATAACAACAACAACCAGAAGTGTGTGACAGTTTTATTCTCTTCATGTGTCATCTTATTGAACTTTGCTATATTAATGCAGAGACTTTTGCCTTTTTTAAAACGAGATAATATTTGGAAGCAGGAGTGGCATTCACTTCCTAAATAGCATGCCTCTGGAAGCTCTATGAACTTTGATAAATGTCAATAGTTATAGAGGGGTTTCAGGCCTTTTGTTCATAGGGTCGCTGAGAGTCATGCTTACCTGGAAGGCAATCATCAGCAACAACAATATAAAATAAGCATTGGTGAGACTGTTGAGAAACTGTAATGCTCATTCCTTGGTGATGAAAATGTAAAAGGAATGATACACCCAGACTATAAAAAAGTTTAGTGGTTCCTAAAAAATTTGGATACAGAATTACCACATGACCCAGCAACTCCAATCCTAATGGTGGCGATGTGAACTGAGTCAATTTCAGCTCACATAACGAGAAGTGGAAGCTGGCACACAAACAGAAACCTATACAACAACACTGACTATAACACTGTACAATATACAAAATATGGACATATTCAACATGCCAAGATAAATGGACACAAAATGTGGCAAATAGGAAAGATTATTTTACAGCTATAGATAGAAACAAAAGTCTGTTTCAGCTGCAATATTAATGATCTGTGAAAACATTACATGAAAAATCAGTCAGTCACAAAAGATCAGTGCTGTATGATCTCACTTTAACAAAATAATCAAACACACGCACCAAACCTCTAAAGGAAGGTTAAGGAGTTTGTCTGGGGGGGACACTGAGTTTACACAGAGCTCAGGTGGCCTGGTCTGTAGGGGCTGTGCTGTTAACTCAAAGGGATCTCTTTGGTGGTTTAAGTCCACCAGCTGCTCCATGAGAGAACGAATTGCCAATCTCCTCCTGTGCAGTTTACAACACTTGAAACCTACTGAGCCTATTACAAAAGGAAGGGTTTAAAAAAAACTATTGCACCTGGAGATGTAGCTCAATGGTAGAGCACAGTGCCTCATGAGCCACGGATCCCAGGTTCAAGGTTCATTTTCATCTCAAGGGGGGAAAAAATTATCACCTAAATAAATGTTTTCAGAAAATGTGAGTTCACATCTAACCCTACTTAGATGTGAGTTCAAATTCTGCCTTGGACATTTATGGTTTTTATGATGCTGAGCTACTTGACCTTTCAATTCCTGTCCGTAAAATGAACAATTTTTTGCTAACCCTTCTAGTTCTCACGTTTTTTGTTTTGTTTTAAATATTGCCTTTCCCCACATCTCTTATTTTTAAAAATTTTAAACCTGAGAAGTTGAATAAAATAGTATACCTCATTCAAATTTTCTTAGAATCAGTTGTGTGTTAGTAAACATTTACTAGCAAGTGGGGATGTGGCTGGGCCCATCTGTGGCATTTGTCAACTTCTTTGTACAAAACCTGCCCCCACTGCTGCCCTTACAGCATCACTGAATGCTGAGCTGGGAAGAGGCAGTGTACAAGCCTGGAGAGCTGACCACGGACATCATTGCCATTCTCCCACTCCAGGAAGCAGTCAAGGATTGCAGACTGCAGGTTCATCTTGGTAAGGACATCAAACTGGCTACATCCACAAAACTATCACTTCTAACATACTTAACTTAAAAATCTAGTGTCCTAAAATTTGAGACCAAATTTCTATTTGCTAACGTCATTCACTTTCTCTCTATTACATCAGAACTAGCTAACTGAGACTAACTAGATAACTTGCCTCAACTCAACAGCACATAATAACAACAGCAAGGTAACCTGCCAACCCAGTGTCAGGCATTTCACAGCAGTTCTGTGGAAGGAGGATGGGCAAGCTCCTCCAGGTGATTTACAGCTTCTAAAAACCTGCTGAAGGGTCATCTCTAAGATGGTTCTGACTCAATGGCACACAACAATTTGGAAGAATTTTTTTAAACAGAATAATCAATATTCATGAAAGACTCACTGCATTAGCCTTGGTTTTCAGTTTATGGTAGACTAGGAACAACAAACCTGCACTAGTCTATAAAACAATGACCAAAATCTCAAGAAAAAATTCAAACTCACTGCTGTCAAGTTGTAACCGCCCCAAGCTGACCCTCCCATGGGTTTTCAGAGGCTGTAAATTACACAGGAGGAGACTGTCCATCTTTTTCCTGCAGGGCAGCTGATGGACTGGAATAGCTAGAGAGGTGTGGACTTTGGGTTAGAAGCACTTCCTAGGACTACACCACCAGAGCTTCTGAAAGCAAAAACCAGAGGAAGGTAAATATGCAATTATGGTAAGTTACATAGACATTTACTTTTTCAGACAATCTAAGTAGATTACAGATTTGGAAGAGGTTATGGTACTAGGGATATTATAGCTAATGTTAGATGGATCTTGGCAGAAAGCAGAGAATACCAGAAGAATGTCTACCTGTGCTTCACTGACAATGCAAAGGCTTTTGACTGTGTGGATCACAACAAGCTATGGCTGACTCTGAGAAGAATGGAAATCCCAGAACACTTGATTGTTCTAATGCGAAACCTATATTTGGACCAAGAGGCAGACATCAGAACAGAGCAAGGAGACACTACATGGTTCAAAATCAGGAAGGGGGTCCGTCAGGGATGTATTCTGTCTCCATACCTTTTCAATCTGTATGCAGAACAGATCATCCGAGATGCTGGGCTGTACGAGAATGAATGTGGCATCAGGATTGGTGTAAGAGTCATCAACAACCTGCATTAGGCAGATGACACAACCCTGCTTGCTGAAACTGAGGAGGACCTGAAGTGTTTGCTGCAGAAGGTCAAGGATTGCAGTCTTCAATATAGATTGAAACTCAACATCAAGAAGACAAAGATTCTCACCACTGGGCCAATTGGCAGCATCAGTATGGATGGTGAAGAGATTGAGATAGTTAACAGTTTTAGTTTACTTGGTTCCACAGTCAACACTCTTGGTAACAGCAGCCAGGAAATCAGAGATGAACTGCATTGGGAAAGTCAGCTGTGAGGGACCTCTCAAGAGTGCTGAAGAGCAACAACATCAGGCTAGAGACTAAGGTGTGCCTGATCCAGGCTATAGTCTTTGCAATTACATGCTATGCATCGGAGAGTTGGACAGTGAATAGGGATGACAGAAAGAGAATTGATGCCTTTGAGCTGTGGTGCTGGAGAAGAGTGTTGAATATACCAGGGACTGCTAGGAGAACAAACAGGTTTGTCCTGGAGAAGGTGAAACTGTGCTGCTCCTTGGAGTCAAGGATTCTGAAGCTTTGTCTGACATACTTTAGGCATGTTGCAAAGAGGGATTGGTCCTTGGAGAGGGACATCATGTTTGGGAGAGTGTAGGGACAGCGCAGGGGAGGAAGACCCTCGAAGAGATGGATTGACTCTGTGAATGGAGTGGTGGGAATGAGTGTGTTTGAGATGGCAAGTTCGGCATAGGATAGAATGGCGTTTAGGGATCTTGTACATAGGGTCGCTATGAGTCACAAGCGACTCAATGGCACATAACAACAAGTAGATTACAAACACCAGACATCTGGAGACCTCATTGAAGATATTGCCCCACATCCTTCTAGGCCAGCACACTAAGATGTGGAGGAAAAAAAATAAAATACATGAAAAATACTTATGGAAAGGATCGAAAATTTTTAGTTCAATAGCTTTTACTGAGCACCTACAACTTGGTCAGATCCATTCATTTCATCTCTCATTCCACTTACAATGAAAGACACATTCTTTGGACTGCTGGCAAGCCTTTTAATTAGTCAAAGTTCTCAGAATCCCAAAGAATTTTAAAAGCATCTTGCATAAAGAAATAGCCCAAGAAACAATTCGTAGTCTTTAACTATGACCGAAGCTGTTCAATAAGAAATTTCTTTCAAAACCTTGCCTCAACAGATGGAGGGGTGGAAGTTCCCACCATTCCTTCATGCCCTGTTCTGAGATCCCTTTAGTCAAATAAGATTGACAGGCACAGGCCCTAACCATTCAATGTACATGGTGAGTAAAAACCTTCCCCACTTTCTTCTAGCAAACAAACAAGGTGAATAAACTTTATTTATTTTCTATTATGCTAAAAGAAGTCACATTAACATCTTTGAACTTTTCCATCATACTGCAACAAAGAAAGGAAGTATATGACACTACTCAAATCAACTGTTCCGATATTACATTTCCTTGTGTCTTAATGTGTCCACTTTAAAAAAAAAAAAGAGAATACTGAACTTCCTTCAAATGAGATAACAGAAATAAGGTGGGACACGGACATGGCCCATCATTTTTGGTCCCAAGTGAAAGACAAAAAGAGAATATCTTGTTCCTTTGAAGAAATGGCTTCATTCTGCTACTGGGGCTTACAGTAGGCAGTCTGTACCCAAGAAAGTAAAGCCCAAAATCATTATAGATTTTCAGAACGTTGTTTTTTAAATTACTAAGACTAACAACAAGACTAAAGGAGAGATAACATTTGGTCTTTGCCCACATGTGGTTAATAAAAAGAAGGCTTATGTCAGAGAAGGGAGTAATCTCCAATTGGACAATGTTTTAGATCACACATTTGATACATCTCGAAACTGAGCAAAATTATCTCCTATGAAAGAAAAAGGAGGTGGGGCATTTGTCTTACTTTTAATAAACTAAGCATAAAAACAAACAAACAAACAAACAAACAAACAAACAAAGCATAAAGGTCCAAACTTACTTATCAGTAGGTTCACCTTTTGCTAGTTTTTCGGCACAAGGAATAGCTCCTTTGTGAAGCCAGCAGTACGTATCCACAGCTACCACCTGTCCTTTATACTTTCTCACATGGATGGGCTCAGAAGCTTCTTTAATAAACTGGAGTAATCCTTGTATCCCCATGGTGTCGAGTTAGCTACATGGTATGAAAAGAAAACAGAAATAGTTCAAGTAAAATGTACTTACCAATCAGTTTCAGAAAGATACAGACACTGGAATCAGATATAGAAATTATTATTAGGCCAGAGCCTGTTCGTGTTGACTGACCAGAGTCTGCGAATTCTCTGCCTCTGCGCCCACCCGACAGCCCCGAGCCCAGCTTTTTTGTCCTCTGAACACTAAAAGAATGTCCCTGCATCAGTTTTTGCTCGAGCCAATCACCTGCCAGGCCTGGAATCGGGATCATCATGAAGTCCACAACTACAGGAAGAACCAGAGCCAGTGGGTGACATCTCATGAGCTCAAGGAACACAACGGGCACATCACAGTCGTTGACTGGGCCTCCAAGAGTGACCGCATGGTCCCCTGCAGAGCAGACTGCAATGCTTATGTCTGGAGTCAGAAGGTTGGCGTCTGGAAGCCCACCCTGGTGATCCTGCGGACCAACCGGGCAGCCATGTTTGTGAAGTGGTCCCTGCTGGACAACAAGTCCACCGTGGGCAGCAGAGCCTGGCTCATCTCCGTCTGCTACTTCAAGTCCGAAAATGACTGGTGGGTCAGCAAGCACATTAAGAAACCCATATACTCCATGCCGGGCTCCTGCGACCTCAAGTGCAGGGTGTTTTCCGCCTACATTAAAGAAGTGGATGAAAAGCCAGCCAGTACGTAACAGGGCAGCAAGATGCCTTTTGGCCAGCTCATGTCCGAGTTTGGTGGCAGTGGCACCAGGGGCTGGGTCCACGGTGTCAGCTTCTCCGCCAGTGGGAGCCTGCCGGGCCTGGGTAAGGCACGACAGCACCGTGTCTGGAGCCGAGGCCTCCAAAAGTGTGCAGGTCTCCACTCTGAAGACAGAGTTCCTGCCTGAGCGTGTCATTTATGTCAGAGAACAGTGTCGTGGCCGTTGGGCATGACTGCTGCTTGATGCTCTTCAACTATGACGACTGTAGCTGCTTGACCTTTGTCTCCAAACTGGTCATTCCGAAACAGAGCATCTAGGTCCACATGTCGGCCATGGAGCGCTTCTGCCACAGGGACAAGTGGGCCACCACTGAGGACAGCATCACGGGTTTGGAGACGAAGCACCAGAACAGCATCCCTCAGGTGTCCATTTATGAGGTGGACAAGAAAGACTGTCGTGAATTCTGCGCTATTGGCATCGATGGAGTCATGACAATTTGGGATTTCAAGACCTTTGGAGTCTTCATCCAGGGCCTCTGAATAATGTGAAGCTGAGCAAACCTCGGAGAGTGAGCCAGCATGACCAGCTGTAGCTGCCTCCCCGCTGCAAGAAACACTGAAAACACGACCGTGCAGATGATCCTTTGTGCTTGCGCATGTAACGTGAGAAAAGAACTGTGAAAGTGTTGATATTTTAAAAGCAGCAATGATTCCCCCCATTTCATTCCATTTTTTATCAAAGCTTCTCTTTAAACAATTGATATTGGAAAATTACCATACTGACCTAAAGGAAGGGGTGTAGGCATGTAAATCGTCTGCTAGAAAATGGAATAAAAATGCTTAGTGTGAAAAAAAATTATTATTATTTAGATATTTAAGAATCATTGCTCTTTAACTGGGATCCTTCTGGTCAAACAAGTTATAAGCTATAGTATTTACATTAATCAGTAATACACCTCTAATAATTTTTTCCAAAGAGCATTTATACTTAAGAGTCATGAGTGTGTGCTCCAATCATTTCTTGGTGTTCTGACTAACATCAAGTTTAATGTATGCTCTGAGCCTATACAAAACCCACTACTAGACATATACAACACATCTTGGAAGTAGCCTCTTCTTCCTACAAAAGGATGCCAAGGTATCACAAACAAGTCTGTTTCGAAGGAAGTGCATTCAGCATGTTCCTGAGAGACAAAGATCTTCTCATATACTTTGGGTTTGTTGTCAAAGGAGGGGCCAGTCCTTGGAAAAGAACATCATGCTGGGAATGGTGAAGGGTCACAGAAGGACAGGAAAACCAATAAGACGGACTGATGTGATGACTAACAATGGACTCAAACACATGAGAGACAGTGGGGCTAGTACAGGACCAGGTAGGGTTCAGATCTGTTGTTCGTAGGTTCTCTTTGAGTCCTCACAGGTGCTTTAATAACCCCTACCAACAATGTGTCGTGTCACATTGCCTCCCAAATACAGGGTATTTTGTTGTTGTTGCTGTTGAGTCGCAGATGACTCATAGCATAGGATTAGGGGGAAAAAAACCCATAAAACCCGTTTATAGACAAGGAGATGTTTCAATTGAAATGTAAATTAAATTCACAGACCTTGGTCTGTACTTTTTGGGGATTGAAATACAGTCATTAGAATGCATTATCACAAGCAATGAACATTCTGGTAATTACATTATCTGAAAATCACTCCCAAAGAAAAACCAAAAACTAAACATAGCTTCAAGCAAAAGCCTTTCATCCTCTACATCTTCTTTTCATCAAAGTTATTGCATCCAAATCCTGGTCCCTTACCAACCAACTACCCAGCCTCTAGAGGTTTAACTTTCCTCTTTCCCCATATAAAAAGTGACCAAGCAGCTACTTTGCATTTTCACACAGATTTCCCTGACAATATTCAAGTTTCAGAAAAACTGCAGCAGAAAAAGAGCCGGATAGTTTATCAGTCTTACCTAGAACCGGTCCAGCAGTTTAAGCTGGAGAAGTTTCATAGACTTGTAACTCCTCTTCCAACTCCAGGCGTGAGCTCAGGGATTCTGAATTCAGACACAAGAGATCATTCGGATGCAGGCAACCATGGAGCTTCTGTTGCAGGAAATCTCTCAGACTGTCTCTACATCGATAGAGCCTTCCAGCACTCTGACAAAATCAGACAAAAAGTACATTTCACGAAGCTCGTTAAGTTCTTTGCAGTCTGGGAAGGTCCCAGGATCAGTGTTTCCTCTTCTGCAAAGGAAGCAGGACGGGGCTCCCAGGTCATCTTCCGGCGGCGGCACCAGAAGCTCCGTGTCGGTGTCACTCCAGAGTCTCCAGGCGACACATCTCCTTAAGTCTGCACAACACGAGGCAGAAACATGGACATGTCAGCATGTAAAAGCAGAAACACTGCAGGCAAAAATGGGCCTGCCGAGCTTTTTGGAAAAGTTGGAGACCTCTGGTCCCTGCTTTCTTGGAACACCCAATGAATGGGGCTTCCCCCAGCACTGTATAGCCAGAGCGGCCCTCAAACACCCCGCTTCACACTCCCATTTACCGGCTCTGCTGGTGGGGAGGTGGGAAGACCGAGAGGCCCTCTTTCCCTCCAAGGAGACCCCGAAACCCGCGGGAAGGGACACAGGTGACAGGCAGATGCCCGCCCTCCAGTCCCCGCGCAGACCCCGCACCGCGCTCTCCGGGAAAGCCGCTGCTCGCCTGCCCCGGGCAGCCTTCTGTTGGCACGGACCTCACTGCCCAAGGCCCCCACGCTCACTTCGGCCACAGCACAAAATGAGAACAAGCCAAGAGAGACAGCCGTAGACAGACACAAGACCACGTCGCCGGCTTTTCAATTTGCGCGGGACCAAGTCTGTCCCGCCCTCAGCGGCAGTGACATCAGCACGCTGCCTGAGGCGCAGGCTCTACCCCCAGCGCCCTCATACGCACATAGGCGGCAAGCCTCCACTCCCCGCCCTGACGTCGGACGCTGTCGCCCATTGGAACTTCGGGCGGTCATGTGGCAACGCAGACAGGAGATGCCCGGAAGTGCAGGGGTTTCTGGGACTTGTAGTTCTCTCGACTGATCTCGTCATCTCGTGTCTCTGATATGAAGAGAGTGTCATAGTTTGAAATGCTGGGGGGAGTGGGCGGGGACAGATGATAGAGCCTTAATTGTATTATGCCCTTTGTTAAGTCTCCCTGAAGACTTAGGGAGAGGGGTGGATTTAGAAATAATTTAACTGGTAAGTACAAGTGGCAAGAGGCAGGGGGTTCGAATCCACGAGCTGCTCTGTGGGAGAAGGATGGGCATGACTCCTCCCATGCGATTAACTGCCTCTGAAAACCCACTGAAGGGTTCCAACTCCACGGTTCGCAAGAAGAAGAGCGGAAAAGCTTTCTATCCAGTTATGAAAAATGTATTTTATATGCACAGATGTTAAAGCTTTTTGGACTTTGGTGGCCGCTTGGCCGCCCTTCCAGACCCCGTGAAACCCTAGCCCTGGTTGCAGTATTCCTTTTAGGAATATTGTGATGGGGAAATGTGGCAGGCGTCGGGATTACAACAAAAAGGAGTTGAGGGAGAAGTATTGTGTTGTTGTGTATCAACCCGCCCGTAGCTGACCCTTCAGTGGGTTTTCAGAGGCACTTAATTGCATGGGAGATTACTGGTCATCTTCCCACGGAGCGGTTGGCGGATTCAAACTCTGGGCCTTCGAGATGGCAGCGCAGCTTCTTGCAACTAGGCCACCAGATTCCCCCAAGAGGAAAAAGTATAGCAGTTTTACTTTTCTCTAAGGCTTCTCTTTTTTTTTTTTTTTTTTTTTTTTTTTTAAAAAATTTTTATTATATTATTTGTACGTGTACCGTCAAATCAGATCTGACTGGTACAGGAGGAGATTGCCCCCTCCTTCTCCAGCAGAGCATCTGGTGGATTTAAGGCTTCTCTTAAAGTTTTTTTTCACAACCATGCCATCGTCCCAGCATGTTGTTATTATTGTTAGGTGGCATCTGGTCATTCATTACCATTCTCATAGCGACTCGGCATAGAGTCCTATGCAATCTCTGATAATGCTCCAGCCCATTGTTATGGCTGTGTCAGTCCATCTTGTTGAGAGTTTTCCTCTTTCCCTGACCCTTCACCTTTCCCAGCAGGATGTCCGTTTCCAAGGACTAGTCACCCCTACAACAACTAGTACCTGAGATGAAGTTTCACCATCCTTGCCTCTAACTTCCTCCAAAACAGACATGTTTATTCTTTTGACAGTCCGTGGGATATTCAGTCACTACCCTTCTCTAACACCA